GGCTGACGCCTCCCAAACTGCGAGCCATAATGAACAGGTCTCCTCTTTAAGTCAAGTACCGGAGATGCCTATGAGAGTGACAGAAAGCAGGCTACCATGCTTCACAGAGTGACAAACCATATTTCATACAAGTCATGACGTCACTGGTTCTCCGAGACCACACCACAGTGTACAGCACTCTGCCGATTAGGCAGTGACTCATGCAGCTTGAGCCACGGAATTTTAATTTCCACCACTTAAAGAACCCTGGACCAGAGAAGGAGGACCTCTCAGACGCTAGGTGCCCAGACTGCAATTGACAACCCACTTATTTGCCACGAGCCGCCAACACTGACCCTAGGTGCACTGATACCTGACGCCCAGCTGCTGGGGCGATGCTGGGTGATTCGGCCCCCATGCTGACAGAGGGCTCTGTGTGTCTGCTATGACACATGTGCCACCAGTTCGCCACCACTGCTCTAGAATGGCTTAGGCACTCACTGCATAAAGTAAATGTAAACAAACTAAAGCGGCATGGGTACGCGCCAAAATCCTACAGTGAACAAAACTCGACTCTTCAAAACTGCGGCGTATCTCCTCAGAGTTACAGCTGTTCTGTCACCAGATGCACTGGACAGGTGTCGGACACCGTGTTGTCAGAGATTCCAGCGGTCTCCAGCCTTTCCCCCCAATCAGCTGACCCCCAGCCTCCAATTTCTGACCCACACTCACAATCCACGATTAGGAGGCCAGCCTTTCCTGTCTCGGAAAACATCCCAAATTCAGGGGTCTTAAGTGTGAAAAAGAAGTTTCAGAAATGAAACCTAGAACCCAATGAAAACACACAAACTCATGATTTGAGAATGTATGAGACTGACCAGAAGAGGAGATCACCAACAGAAAAGAGCTTTCGTCCATGCAGCCCACTGCCAGGATCAACATCCCTGCCTGGGATCTGCACTGATCCAATTCAGCCGGGGCCTCCCTGCCTCTGCTTTCTCTCCTTTTCCAAGCCTCTGCTCCACTGATGCCCTTCCAGACACCAGTCAGAGGACAGGAGAGGAGCAGAGAGCCTACAGAGCTGCCCGGCCCTGCAGGAAACCATTCCTCTTCCCCTCTTAATACTTGTATTTGCTTCTCTGATGTGGCAAAACGCCTAGAACCTATGCGGCTGGAGCTCCAGAAGTGAGCTTGCGAGGAGAGGAACCTGCCATTAAAAGTAATGACGCGAGTCTGCTAGCTCTCATTCTTACATACGCCAGCAGTCCTGAAGCCTCATCAACTTGTTTTTTAAAGTCACAAACAGCCTCACTTCTAACTCAGTGATTTGAGGGTTTAGAACTCTTCTTGGTTTGGGTACAATATTCCAAAAGACAGCTCCTATCAGGCCCCCACCCAGGGGAACGGGAAGGAAAGTGGGAGCAGGTTAGAACCACATCTGTCCTCCTGGTCTCCCACGGATCTCCCTCCCCTTCTGTTGGTAAGGCAGGGCTATACGAGCAGTATATCAAAATGTCAGCAATCCAGAAATTAAGTTGTCAGCTTTTCCTCTTTACTGCAAATTACAAAAGAATTAGAGCTTTGGTACTAATAGAAGCTTCTGCTCCTAAAGTGTGCAATTTAACCAATCATCTCAAGGCCTAAAAATGCAGCACTGAAGACATTTCAACCCAGTGATCTGCAGTTCTGGTACCTAATTTCTACTTCTCTACTTCAAACATTGTTTTTCCTCTTTCGAAATGTGTTCTGGAATAGCCACATAGTTCAGCAAGTACAGCCCTGAGCTGCTTCACATAAAATACACTCACTGTAAGAGAAATCGCCTTAGCAAAGAGGCACAGAAAAAGAAAAGGCACCCCTGCAGCTACTCTGTAGCTCTTCATTTTTTTACCCTGACACCACACTAAATTCAGAAGCTGAAACTTGACACTCTCAGAATTCCAGTCTTCCTTTCATAATGTATTCAACACTAATTTGGGTTGGAACATGTCCTTGATCATCTCTACACAAGAATTTTAAATGTGGATTAGAATGTTCCATTATAAAACAATTAGCAAGTAGAGCAAAAATTGGAAATGGAGATCAGTGACCTCTGATCACTCCAGATATCTCGCAGGCTTGTGAAATCCCCAGCTCTTACAATTTTTTTCCAATTGCCAACTATGATCACATCATTCAAAAACGGATAAGAATACTGCCCGCCCAGAAAATACACTGCATCTTTAAAGATGCTACATACTTACAAAAAAGACAACCCTGATAATCTAAACCAAAAATTTATCAAGGATGCTATTTTAGTACAAGGAATAGCAGGAAATACATTGACTTAGTGAACAAATAAAAATATGGACTCATTGCTCTGGTCCTTTAGGTAATTTTTAAATGGCCCTCTAAAAATTAGACTGTGCTCCTTTATAAGAGAAATACTCAGTGATGTCTGCTATCCCCGTCCCCCAAACATCTTCATCCATGATCTCGGAAACACCTCCACCCAGGCAAGCTTCCATCCCCTCCTCTCCTCCAGTTCTCCAAACAATACCTTGAAGCGCAGCTCCGTGTGAAAAGGGAGATGCTCACTCAGGCATCAGGCAAAGTTAAACCAGCGAGATGCCTCAGACAGTCTGGTTTAGCCTGCCCCACCCTTGTTCTTCTGAGCCATAGTGATGTCATAATGCCAGGCAGGGCAATGGCTCACAGTCCCAGTCCTCACCTCTGAGCACATAATTCTTGATAGCCAGGGCAAATCAAATGATAGCACAGCGCTCCAGGAGCCAAGAGGGTCTGATGAATTCCCAACAAATTAGCAGCCAGCAAACAAGCCTGGCGGAAGAAAGAGATGCTGCAATTGCACCATTAGGAATCTCTCCAAATGAAGTGGTCCTAAAGCTAAATGTGATCCCTGGCTTCCAACGGCAGGCAAGCCCAGGTTCCACAGGAACACTGCCTTTCAAAGAAGTAAACAGTGATGGGTTACTTGAGAGAGACCAGGCCAAGTAACTGTGACTAGAACACACATACAACTCAAGAAACTTCTCCTTGTTACAGTCCAGTCCCCACAGAAAGCAAGCATACTCTTGGAGTTCTAGCTTACCTACAAGGACATGAATTCTAATTCATCATTTGTAGTAGCTTTTTTAAATGCACAAAATGCACATTCTCCTACATGGGAGAAAATACCTGAACAGCAAGTCCCTGTCACACTCAGCACAAAATAGGGTAAATTCAGAAAAGATCTATAGGATGAGGGCCACATCATCTCTCTTAGGACATGAATGGCGCTACCCTAGGTGGTCTCAATGCATCTGGCAAACAATTTAAAAACGTATATATGAAACTGCAAAATCCCTGGTCCTGTTCTTCAACACAAAGTTGGCCCAAGTCCAAGTGCCGTGCAAGAAGAACTGACAAAATCTGCTTTGAAACTCAATCACATTCAGGCAGAAAGAGTGAAAAATAGAAAAATAAATTTGACTGCGCCACTGAGACCCTGACCTTTGATCTGCTCCTCAATCCTGCATCCAAAAGTGATTTACAATTAACGTGGCTTCTTTGCTAGTTACCAATAACCCATTCACAAAACAGTCTGTGTTGCAAAAATTACTCGCCCGAGTGTATTAGCCAGAAAAACTTTATGCAGTAACTCGTGCATCTAATTATTTTTGCTTTTCTAAACCATCAGAAGATCCTAACGCAAATGAGACAGCATTTCGTATTCAGTCTTCTTCATAAATGCCTTGGAAATTAAAGTCATGCTTCTCCAATTTAGAACGTATTTCCTCTTACAATAAACTTGTTACTACAACTAAAGTTTGGAGCGTTTTGATGCTAAATTAGCATGCATTTTTAAAAAAAATCTTGTTAAGCTAATGCAGAAGCCACCTTCCAGTTCAATGCATTCAAGCAAGTTCGATGAGCTTCTCTGTCGCCACTGAGCTAGGAACAGGGCTCCCACACACAAGCGTTTTATCATTTTCGTGTCCTTGGGCCTTTAAAAAGAAATCGGTGCAAAATTAAACACAATGTTTCCGGCGCTTGGCGGGGCCACTGCTTTATCAGGGAGGCGAGCTCTGCTCTACCCAGAGAAACTCCAGCTCACCTGGCTGCCTCAGGGACCCCAAATTGGGCCAAAAGAAAGGCCAGGCAGGCTCTCTGCAGACTCAGCTCCGCTGGACCAGCGGGAGGAAGCCGAAGCCGGCCTGCACGCAGCTCGGAGCATGGCCGGCCAGCACCGCCGCTCCAGCCCGACCTCGGCCCGATCAGTGCCACATGCTTCCCTCCACCGTTCCAGTGGGTCCGCCGCTGTCTCCTCCCAACTTTCAACCCTGCCTGCAGAGGCAGGGGGACCCTCAAAAACTTCAGATCCGCGAATGTAGGAGGGGAAAGGCAGGGTCGCTCCTGCTGCCGCCGCAGAGGAGCAGAGTTACAGTTCACCGGGTAACCACACCCACCGCATTGCAGAAGCCGCGAACTCGGCCCCTGGCGCGGGGGCGCGGGGGGGGGGGAGTGGGGCGAGAGGAGGGGGCCCCGAGACGCCAGCGCTCAGGCGCGAGCCTGCGCAGGACCCCGCATCCCGGGCCCGCACCCTCCCTGCCCCCACGCCGCAGGCCGCCTCGCGGACCCCTCGCGGGGCGGAGGGAGCCAGGTGCGCGGGAGGCCGGGCGGGTCCCCCAGGTGCTCCGGCCCTGAGACCCCTTGCAGCCCCCGGCCGGCCCAGGCGGGAGGCAAGTTACATAAAAGCGGGATGCCTTGTGCGCGCCCCGGACCCGCGGCGCCGCAGTGCCGCCCCCGCGCTCCATCGCGCCGGCCCCGGGGTGACCTGAAACGGCGCCCCTGAAACATGGCGCCCCGGGCCCGGACCGAACCGGAACCGCCCCTCCCGCTGGGCTCGTAGGCCCCCAGCCGGGCTGAGCCGGGGTTCCCCGGTCCCGGGGGACCCGGAGGGGGGCGCAGCCCCGCAGCCCCGCGCCCCAGCTCGGGCGCCCCGGGAACCCTGCATTCCCGGCGCTCGGCGGAAAAGTTACCTGGGGCGCGGGCAGGCCGGCCAGGCTTGGCTCTAAGCGGTGCGCGCTGCGCGGGAGGAACCGCAGCCGCTCCCGCCCCGCCGGCGACACGACGCGCAGCTCGGGACGCACGGCCCACGCCCAGGCTCCGCGCTGCTCCTCCTGCGCGGGCGGGGCGCGGGTCTGCGCCGGGTCTGCCTTGCTCGGGGCCCCCAGCCTCCGCTGGAGCCCAGAGAGGGGGGCTGGCAGCCTTCAGGTGAGTGATTTATTGGCCCAGGGCTGCCGTATTCTTATTTCTTTTTGAAAGAAAAAATTCAGATTGGATGTGCCTTGCACAGGCTGCGTGTTGAGGAAATTGCAAGTTAATAGAGAAGACTTGAATTAAAGGCTGCGCAAAAGAGGTTTCTCCTCTGTGCGCCGGCAGCTCAGCCCCTCCTCCTCCCAGGGCCCTGGCCCTGAAGCATCCGCGGCTGCAACAGAGAGGACTAAGGCTGAGATTTCCGATTCCCCTGGAGTCGCGAGGCCTAGGATCAGCGCGTGTTGAGGCCCTTTCCAAACCAATGAGGCACCCTGCCCTGCAGGAGCTCGGAGAAGGAAGGAGACTAGGCTCTGGGAAGAAATCTTGCCTTCACTAATGGGAGCCAAGGACGTGGTGCAGAAGCCTCAGGCAGCGATGAGCAAGAAGCAGCGGGCTGGCCTGTCACCAGGAGGTGGGGAAATGCAGCCGGATTTCAAGGAGGGAGAAAACTTCCATGGAAAAGGACGTGGCGTCCGCTGATTTGGCTCTAGTGGCGGAGTTGTCAGATTGCATGGGAGAGAAGCTGAAAATTTACCATTCCCACGTTGCTATGGTGTTTACAGACCTGTTTTCTGAGGTGTGCAGAAATTTGAAGCTCAAAAATATGACTGAGGTTGTAGTTTTTTGTATAATATGGCATTTTAAAGTCAAAATGAATTGGCAAATATGAGGTCACATAGACCCTGTTTCAGATGCCAGATGTTACGAGGATCTAGACAGTCTCAGGTGACCCCCCTCCCACTCCCAGGTTCCAGTGCTGGGTAAGTTCAGGGATCAGCTATCTTAGGTTACCATCAACAACTCTCCCTTTGGGGCAGAAGACTCCATCCCTGCCACTGGGCTCACACAGGGCTGCCAGCAGATCCTCGAAGAAGGGATTCGCTCCCCTTCGGAAGTGGACTTGGGCAGATCTCACTGTTTACAGTAAACCCAGAGCTGGCGTTAGCATCCCAGCCGCAGATGGCTTTCGTACTTTCATTCATTTTACTGCGGTATTTTTGTTATTTTTTTAAATTGAAGCAAACTGTTCTCTCCATGACTCATGAATCTTAATCTTTTCGGCGATGAAAATCAGGAATAGTATCTGAGTAACTAGTTTCGATGGAGGAGAGCGGTGGAATACTAAATGGCCATTACGAAATTCAGGAACACCTCGCTAATTATTGAGAGGAAGGTCCATGAGAGGACGATCCCCGCTGCAGCGTAGCTTCATCGCGAATCTGAGAAGCAGTTATGGTGCAGCCCTTTGGGCTTGACTGAGGTTTTCCACCACACTCTTATTTTTCCTAGCATAGAATTGCCCCACTGTGCATCAGCAGAGCCTCGTGCCCTGGGTAACTCTACCCTCTCCTACTCCACCAGTCATCTCTGTCTCCCCACGAGGCCTTGCTGGCTATACTGCAAGCCCATCACTTACTTTTGGCCAAACAAATGAATGGGCACTGAAGCATGAACTAAGCTGTCACTTGACTTAGACTTTGCTCCTGTAGAGAAAGTCCAAGGGACTATTTTCAAACATCTGTCTGCCTCAGTGATAGCAGTTCCACAAGATGCACAACATCCTCTTACCTGGAGAGTAGATAATAAAAAGTAAGTGATGAAAAAAGTTAACAGTGAAAAACCTACCACTTCACTCATCAGGAAATAAAATGAGCTTTTCCACAAGGAAAGAAGGAAAGTAACGTGGTAGCAGCAAAGGGGTGCTTTGCTCACAGCGGGATTGGCTTTCTTTCTTCAAAGTTGAACTCCATGCCTCCCTTCCACTGTCACAAATACAGCCCCATTCTCACCCCTCCCACTCAGAGAAGCCTTTATGCTTGTGTGTGCCCTGAAACCCTTTGTGGTACGATTTCTGTGAGTTACAGAGAAGTGGTTCTTGGGTTGGGGAATGCCTGTTCCATCTCCAGAGTCAGTGCGGATTTGGTGCAAGCAGTCAGTTCTTCAGATGCCTACTGTGTTCCAGCAGGAGAGGGCTACACGGAGTGTCAGACAAACTCTGACCTCCTCCATGGAAAGGGGGACTCCAGACTAGGTCTTGGGGTACCTGTTCTGGTTCCTTGCTATCCTCGTGCTTATTTTACAACACTTATTCATGTACTTCCTGTAAGTGCTCTACTGTGTATACAGTATAACACCAAAAGGCGAGGAGCCATCCAGAATTCTAGCTGTGGCTTGGCAGAAAGGGTGCAGTTTGAGTCAGGCAGTGTCATGGTTTATGTCAGTGGCCCCCAAGCCTCATGCAATTATGGGTGTAGCCAACCAAATGTAGCATTTGTGATTGGTTCATTGTCTACTGCTCGGATTGGTGGTGTGAGTGCTACACCTGCCTAGGGGTGGAGCCAGCACATGATGTAATGGTGGGAAGGTGTGTGTGTCTCTCTCTCTTACCCATTTCCACCTTGCTGTTTGCATCCAGCCATGAATGGCTGCCTTGCCACACGACCCTGCCGCTTGGAGCCTGTGTATGGACTGAAACCTCCAAGAGCTGTAGGAAATAAACCTTTCCTTCCCTAACTTTGGGCGTCAGGTATTTTGTCTCAGTGAGGAGTAAAGAGTAAGACAGGTGGGATGTGTGTAAATACATCTCAAGCTGAAGAGCCAGGATGCCCAGAACCTCCATCTCGCCACAAGCACTAATAGAGCTGTGATGCAGTGGTACTCACTGATGCTCTGCCAACCATGTGAACAGCCTGCCAGCCAAGGGAAGGATAGACAGAGCTTAAAAGACTTACTGACCACAATATTGTCAGCCTCAAGGACAAGACTCCAAAACACAATGATAGTCTGACGAGTGGGACGCATCTGAAGTTGGTCCCCAACATGGGGATTAAAGGAACACTGAAGCTTAACGCAAGCCAAGAGCGCTTCTCCGCTGGTATACTTGGCTTGCCCATTTGTTCAAACTGAAGCCATTGCCTTAGTGAAATGCTGCCAGCACTTGCAGTAACCAGCTGAGGCATTTTTATGCTCAGAGGAGTGGCAGGCACCTGAACTGCATATCAAATCCTTGAAATCGGAACTTAATGTCTTCAGCCGCAGTGTCACCAGAGACCATTAATAAGAGAAATACAAGGCTGAATTCATAATCCAAAAGCTACAAGCTTCTCCTTCTGACATACAAATTCATTTAAGTGTTTCTGGGTTGTAAGAATGGTGTTGAGAGTTCCAGATGCTGCATCCATGCTGGGTGTGCATGCCTCATTGCAGGGATCTGTATACAGGCAACGCACAGATGCAAGATGATAAAAAAAAAAAATACCAGTACTACAAAGGCAACACAAAATGTCCAAAAACACAAGTGCTAACACACCATTAAGAAAAATCACTCTTATTCACCATAATTCCACACATCCATCTTTTTTATTTGTACTCTGAAAAGCTACAAAGGTGGGGCCAATACCTATTATGGAAGTTTCATTATGTTAAAGTAGATCTTTATTATTTTTTTGGCTTTCTCCATTTTTCGTAAATTTTAGAAATAGGTTGTAATCCTGCTAATTAGAGTAATTTCTGACAATAAGTTTATAAAGGTTATTCTAATGCTTAATTTTATATAAACTTGAAATGCTCAATAATTTTTTTTCTCCTCAACTAAAAATAAGGATCCATTATGAATACTTTATCTTTGGAGCTCTTGTATATAATATAAAGAATGAAATAGTAAAATATAAACAATGGGAATTGGTAATCCATAGCATTAAGTTTAACTCCCAAACAGATGGTTTCACTTGGGTTATATCAAGAGAGTTAATATTTTAATCCCCCTCCCAACAAAAAAGACATAAAATAAATGCCAGCAAACCTCTCTATTTCCTATGAAGTTGTAAATAATCCTAATCAGCCATTCTGCTTCATTGATGCAGCTAACAAGAATAGTCAGCGGGGGAAGGATTCGCTGCACACGCTCAGAAATTTGGTTTAACTCCTCAGTGGGATCTTCAGGTTAACATTGCCCTCTTTAGGTAAATGTGTGATGGTTAACTTTATACAGTAACAGCTATTAAGAAAAATGTCAGCTTTGCTTTCCTGGTTCCTGTTGTCCACACTCTCCTCCCTTTCTGCCTGTCGCAGGGATGGGGACCTCCCAGTGAGAGGTCACCCTGAAAACCTGGCCCCTCTTCATCTGCAGCTCCCAGCATGCTCTGGGAACCAATCAAAGCCTCACCCAGAATGTCTGCGTCCCCGGAAGTACATCTGTTTAATAGGTCAAAACGATCTGAAAACAAACTGTGGCTATTACTTCCGCGCTGTTCTAGACATTTATGAGGGATCTGGATTTCTGTGACTGATTCCTTTCAGGGGAGGTGGATCGAAGTGGAGTAGCAGACCTTCTCCAACTAGTTTGACTGGACAGTTTTCCCAGTTTTGTTTTAGTGTGAAGAATAAACTTAGAAAGTGATAAACATATTCATGCTATTTATATCAGAGTTCTTATTAAAAATGCGGGTTCCTGGGTGGAGCCTCAAGCTAAAGCACATCACAAGCTCTGGATTGGGGTCCAGGCATTTTTAGTAAGCTCTCTGGGTGATTATAAATTACTCTGGATCTTGAGAGCCACTCATTGAGGTGGCTGGCTGGTAACAACAATCCCATGGGTGACAAAGTATATGCAGACAATGTTTCACAGAAGGGAGAACAGAAGAAAGTAGGGGTAGAGACCTTCTGCACCTACTCAGTGCCTAAACTGCAGACAGCCGTGCTACATGAGGCCATTCCCATTCTGCAGGAGACTTGCTGCTGGGATCCTGTCGTGCTGTGCATCAGTCCCAACAGCAGTTCATTAGCAGTAAGTACGGTAATAAATAACAATGAAAGATTGTTCTGTTCCCGGTCCCAGCCATAATTGCATTAGGTGCCCATTTATTGAAGATTGCAATAACAGTACAGCTCTGACCCTATTTTCCAGGCGCACAAAACATCTCTGCAAAGTTGCCAAGGGACGTCTCATTAAAAAGGGAAAACGAGGACTAATTGCTGGCAGTTTGGGTGAAGGCTGAGTGGACTGTCCTCCGCTGGGAGAGACAGACTGGACTCAAATGGACACCGCTTGGTATGACAGACTTAGGCTGACAGGAATTCCTCCCACTAACCAGTGAGCCAAGTGAAGCACACTGGCCAGAGGAGTGATTTTTTTATCTTTAACACAGGATGAGGAACTTTGTTTCATCAAAAACATGGTTAATCTTATTAAATTACTATTTTTTAAATTTTATTGTATGTGTCTTATTTTTCACATCAAATTACAAGATCATTTTGGTTTGATTGTTGATGAGACCTATGGGTAAGAGAAATTTAAGTCGTTTTACAGCTATTTTGGATGACATACTGGGTGGGAGCATCAGAAATCGTTTCCTTTGTT